GCTCGAATTAGAGCAAGAGGCATGCCAGCCTAACTCTATAGGTGCCATTCTTCTGGCACCTTACACTACTGAAAAGTCTTTGTATGTACAATAGCAATGTAATGATCCATAGTACAGTGCGTATTTGGAAACAAATCAAATCACACTTTAAGTTGAAACCCATATTTTATGCATTACCTATCACTGGAAACCCTACGTTTCCTCCATCCATTCTTGATAATACTTTTAATCTCTGGATGAACAGAGGCATTCATACAATAGGAGAGCTATACATTAATGGCATTTTTGCATCCTTCGCACAATTACAGAGTAAATATAATATACCGGGTAGTAGTTCCTTTAGATACTTGCAAATTAGAAACTATGTAAGAAAATACTTGCAAAATTTTGAGATCCTTTCAGGCTCTTGTCTTGATCGATGCCTCCGACCCATGTCATGCTTAGAAAAATCGATATCTTATATTTATGACACTTTGCAGTCTATCAGTCCAGTGATCTCCACTTCAATAAAAACAAAATGGGAGGAAGAAATGGGCATTGTGATCCCAGACCCTCTATGGGAAAAGAGTTTGGAACATACTCATCGATGTTCCAATAATGCTAGGCACTGTCTAATTCACTTTAAGATTCTACATCGTCTTCACTTTTCTAAAGAGAGATTACACAAAATATACCCTGAGATATCCCCTCTATGCGACAGATGCCTTGTTGTAGAAGACACGTTGCTTCACAGCTTGGTTCTGTGTCCCAAGGTTAAGATCTTTTGGTTTAATATCTTCAGTTTAATTTCTAGGATACTTAAAATATAATTGGAGCCTAATCCTCTCATCATTATTTTTGGAATTTCAGAGGATATTAAAAGGTTAAACAACTATCAACAATGCCTCCTGTCCTATAGTCTCATCACCGCAAAGAAGCTACTTCTCATGCATTGGAAAAATAAAGAAACACCCACCACAAAGTTATGGCTCAGTGATCTTACTAACACTCTCTACTTAGAGAGAATAAAATATATTCTTATGGATAAACTCCCACACTTTGAAAAAGTGTGGTCACCCCTCATTCACTATCTCTCTCCTGGCAGTGGAAATTAATGTTTCCCTCTAACTATAATAAAGTAATATTTAGACGGAAGGATTAGGCTGGGTAGGGTGGGAAAGAGGGATTATTTAGTTGTTTTTTTTCTGTTTATCTGTTGATTCTGTTTTTTTTTTTACATTGTATGTTCTAAAAACAAAAAGAGGACTGTATATCCTAACTGCACACATTTCTATGTGGTTATACATTATACTCCTGTGTATGATGTAGATATTATAACGATATGAATATGTGCTCTAATAAAAATATTTGAAACTTAAAGGTGTTTTAGAATTTACATCCTATTTGAGAAAAAGCTAAGATTTATATTAATTTGACAGCACTTGAAACGTATTATGCATCATAATTCATTCGCAATGCCTATGAATTATTGTTGTGAGTTATTACATACATTCATTTTTATTTATTCACTGCTGGAAGTTTAAATAGTATATATTGAAGCACATGATCAATAGCGATAGCTTCTGAATCAATGCTAAACCTTTGCAAATTTTTATATTGATATATACTGTACGTCTGATTTTAGTTATTTATGTAAAGATAAAATGCATTATAATCTGTATTAAAGGGTGAACACAGCTTTATAAAGTGTTTCCAAAGTTTTTCTTGAATTGCATGTGAGTGTGGTGGGTTTTACAGACCCGGTTTGCGAAAGTGTCTTGTTTAAAATGGGGTGTGCAACATCTTCGGTTGGATTATGGCATTCTAATGTGGTAGACAACAATGCAATGGTTTTTCTGTGCTTCTGTGATTGTGTCTGCTTCCAGTGAAAGAGGCTGTCTTGTTTTGTTCCATTTGATGGTGACATTGATTGTGTGTGCTTGTCCCGTGCATCCTCTCACAAGTCAGATTCTGACCCTGCACTTTAATCTTCAACTGCCCCAATGAGATGACACTCTCAGCTGCCTGACAGCATTCTGGGTAATGCCTCTCTTGTCCTGTCTGTCTGTCTCTCTCTCTTGTACTCATTCTCCACAGTCCTCCACATCTTTTGTTCTTTGTGTCTGTTTTTTTTTTTTTTTTACTGTCCTCTCTTTGTGAATTCTAGAGGTTGTCTTGTAGATGTTGCTTCGCGTTTCTGTGTTATGAAACATGTTAGAGGGAAAGATTGCTTTCATGCTGTCCTCTAATTGACAGAAATACATAGGCCTTTAGTACTCGCTGGCATAGTTTAAAAATCGTAAACTTTTTTCAGTATCTTAATGTTTTTCAGCTTTTTCATACCGTTTAATATATATTTTGATATTAACATATTTACTCACAAAAAATTACATATATATATATATATATTTGTCTTTCTTGTTTTTGTGAAACACTAACAGACCTACACAATTGTCCAGGGGCCAATATTTAAACCAGTGGTGATTGCTATGGATGTTTTTTAATGCAACAAATCTCTCAAGCCACTTGACATTCAAAGGCGCCTGAGCCATCTTGACAGCATCTTATGCGTGTGTTTTTTTTCTTACCTTGTTATGTAGCCTTTTTATTTATTAGCAAGGGCTTTTTATACAGCTGGAGCCCAGCTTCCCTCCATACACGCTACTCCCGTACAAGATCTGGCCCTTACCAAGTAGGCTCATTAGCTACGAAAAGGAGATTCAGTTAATTAAAATAATTCCCCGTTAACACAGCTGCTTTGGTCAGCCAAATTAAACAGGGGGAGTGCTGTGCCGTCTGCTTCCCACTCAGCGAACGTGGCTATACTGCCACGGAACATGGCTAATTAGCTCAATAGGAGGAATATTTTAATAGCAATTAATGAGGCACGGGCCTATGCGAGCTCTAATTTAAGAGCCTGGTTTGTGTGGGTGTGCATGCCGATGAATTCTGATGTCTGATGAGATCGCTTTTGTCACTGCTTGTGTTACGATCAGCCTAGCTCGCAACCAGCGGGTTGCTCACGGATTATTGATTTTCTTAAGATTTATCCCAGCAAGCTGACTTCCTAGAGCAGTTGTGATGGAAAATGCACTTTATAATAATGATAATAAATAATAATTCATTACATTTATATAGCGCTTTTCTCGGCATTCAAAGCGCTTTACATAGAAGGGGGAATCTCCTCAACCACCACCAATGTGCAGCATCCACCTGGATGATGCGACGGCAGCCATATTGCGCCAGAACGCCCACCACACACCAGCTTACTGGTGGAGAGGAGACAGAGTGATGAAGCCAATTGGTATATATATATATATATATATATGTGGGGATGATTAGGAGGCCATGATGAACAGAGGCCACTGGGCAAATTTGGCCAGGATGCCGGGGTTACACCCCTACTCTTTCGAAAGACATCCTTTTTTTGTGACCACAGAGAGTCAGGACCTCGGTTTAACGTCTCATCCGAAGGACGGTGCTCTTTTGACAGTATAGTGTCCCCATCACTTTACTGGGGCATTAGGACCCACACAGACCACAGGGTGAGCGCCCCCTACTGGCCTCACGAACACCTCTTTAAAGGTGTGGTTTGTCAAGCTATAAGCTACTCATTATTAAAAGTAGTTGATCTACAATCAGGTTAGCCTTTTAGTAGTTAACTTGCATTGAAGTTATCCAATTCTGTTTTTTTTTCCCAATATGTATCTGCCCAGATGTTGGTCAACCTTCTACGCACACCTTGGCAATAGAATCACCATTGACTTGTACATTTTTTAGCTTACTTGACAGGATATATATATAGATCAACTGCAGTCAATCAAGCATTCAACATTTTTCATGATGGACTGAAGTGATGCTTCTGTACATTTTTTAAAAAATAATTATATAAAACAATAATTCTAATAAAATAGTAATATTAATAAGAAAAATTATACTAATAACAATATAAAACACTACAGTCTGATAAGTTGTTGAGCTCATGAATATTGATTACGTTGTCTGTTCGCTCAAACTCATTTGCTAAAATCAAACTGTGGACGGTAATTGGTGAGAACGAGCCAACGAAGTTGCTGCTTGTGCATTATTCCCGCCCACTACCGAAGGAACCAGCCGGCAGTGGCTTTTGCTTGGTTTTAAAGGCTCAATAATTCTATTGAAATTCTATCACATTAATTCTAGCCAGTGGCTAACAATAGGCATTATTTACTGGCCTAGATTGAAATTTAGTCTCATATGTGAGTTATTTACTTGCAATGTTGAGGGTTGTTGGTTAAGCATGCCGGACGATGTCCATGGCATCAGGTAGGTGGTGTCCAGAGTTCTGCCACACCCATTAACATCTCTCCTGACAGAGTACAACAGTGCATTCTGGGTAGAGGACAACTTTCACGTGGTTTCATCGCTATATACAGGCTATATACAGGCTTCTGTTATACTACAACATCAAAGCCAAATATATTACAGTCACCATGTTACGTTCAACATAGTAAGACAGGAGGCGAGGGGGAGGAGGTGGGCAGGAGATGAGGAGGAACACAAGGAAAAACGTGATGGAGTACTATGTAAGCAACTGTGCTTTCTCCCAGAAGAACAGATTGTTGACAACATTGGGACTGTGCTTTGAGTAAACAATTCTTAAAAGGCCAATTAGTCTGTGATTTTATTTTACATGCTTAACTGTTCTTTGTAAAGCAGCAGAAGAGTAAGTTCTCTGGACAATGTTAATTTCGAATCTGTTCAAGGCTTGTTAGCATTATCATGAGAATCAAATTTGATCCATTGGCCATAAAACTATGAATTAATGTGGAATTAAGAAATGACTTGACAAGCACAGTTGTCTGCCCTGTTAAGAAACAAAATTCCCTACTGAAACTGGAAGTTTGTTTTTTGTAGAATCCAACCCCCCTAAATATTATATTATAGTAATGTGTGTCACATAAATGGAATTGTATCATGATTAAGCAAATATGTGTTAATCGTGACGGCCCTAATACATAGACATTTTTTTTCTTCTGTAGTTGCAGTACCATGCAGGTCTGGCCTCCAGTCTTCTAAACCAACAGTCACTCAAACGCTCAGCCAATCAGATGGGAACATCTGCCAAAAGAAGACCCAAAGTCCAGCCCAGCACCCTTGTCCTTCCAACACAGTGAGTTTGAGTTCATATTTTTCACAGTATCTCATAACCAGAAAGTTTAATGCTCCTAGTAGGCTCTTTCACATGTGAAACCTGTTCAATTTCTGCAGTGTTAAACTTGTCCAGTAAATGTACTACATATGGACTTTTCATGTACAACATAGATATAGGATTAAAGAAGCACAACACAAGGCCTACATTCATGAAACTGAAGTCACCAGCATTTGTTTGTCCATAGACCCACTGGCAGCAGGTCAGAGGTGACCATTGATTCTCTTCCTCTCTATTGGTTCATCCGATTATGGTGACAGAGTAGAATAGCTCATTGTCTTTCCTGGTGTCACTAGGGTCGTAGAACATAGGCTTTAATAATAAAGTAGCGAGAGTGGGATTTGGTGAACATAGAGGAGAAAAGAGCACGTACTCTGGAGGGAAGATGAAAGACGGATGAAGAATGAACAGAAAATAACCATGGAGGACACACAGAAAAGACAAGAGCGGAGCCCAGGTGGTCTGTGTCCCCCTGAAAAGCCCACTGATGGGATACCACTTCTGTTTCTCCTTGCAAATGTGCTCTTTTTAATCTGATTCTGTTGTAATGTGTTATTTTCTTTCCAAGGTCCTTCAAAGTGATTGTTCATTTATTTCTAGTTGTAGTGCTCTCCTTTGCTCCGATGCCTGCTCGTAGCGCAATGTGCTTTCTAAGGCTGAAGTACCAGGAGGAGAAATAAAAATGTCCTATGTCCGAAATCGTTCTCTGTTCAACTATAAAGTGTTTCCTAAAGACAATATAAAGTGAACACACGTTGGTTCACGTTTTTGAACCGGACCCATAATGCTCTTTGATTTGCGTGCAACCAGTCTACGTGCAATTTATCAGTTCAAGGGATAGTTCACTTTGAAATTAATTTTTGGTATGTTTTAGCTTACCTCAAGGGCATCCAAGATGTAGGTGTCTTTGTTTCCGCAGTAGTTTCAATTTTGATATTTTTAGGTCAAACCGTTCTTGTCTGTCAGTCATATAATGCAGGTCTATGGTCACCAACTCAAAGAGCATGCACAGAGAAGTCCAAATTAAACATGATTTAATGACTCGTAAATGTAAGTACACATTGATGGCCTAAGACACGAAACGACCGGTTTGTGTGAGAAAACGAACAGTATTTATATCGTTTTTACCTCTTGTAACCCGACCACGTCCAAGTGATCTGAGGGCGCGGGCGCTTCGGTCTGCGCAAGCGCCGGAAGTGATCTCTCGCGCGGTTACGAAAAAAATTCAACGTCTTCCATTGCGATTTCCTGTATATCTAGTTGTTGTCTGTATGCCCTGAGGATGTCTTTTGACCGAAAGCTTTGTCTATTAAATTTGCTTTAAAGATTTGATTGTGCGGACAGTTTATTTATTGATTTCCTGTATATCTAAAAATGTTTAGATCTTCACAGTGAAAGGTAAGACTTCCGAAATCTTCCGAGTTCCGAGTGACGTACACGCGCGAGAGATCACTTCCGGCGCTTTCCGGCGCTTGCGCAGACCGAAGCGCCCGCGCCCTCAGATCACTTGGACGTGGCTGTGGTTTCAAGAGGTAAAAACGATATAAATACTGTTCGTTTTCTCACACAAACCGCTCGTTTCGTGTCTTAGGCCATCAATGTGTACTTACATTTACGAGTCATTAAATCATGTTTAATTTGGACTTCTCTGTGCATGCTCTTTGAGGTTGTGACCATAGACCTGCATTATATGACTGATAGACAAGAACGGTTTTGACCTAAAAATATCAAAATTGAAACTCCTGCGGAAACAAAGACACCTACATCTTGGATGAACTTGAGGTAAGCTAAAACATACCAAAAATTAATTTCAAAGTGAACTATCCCTTTAACTCAGTGTGAAGTGGTTTATCTTTCTCGATGAATTGATTATAGTTACATTATCTTAAACTTGTAAGATTGGACAAAGGAAATAAAAAGGATTATGAATGATTTAAAGCGCCCCTATTATGCCATTTTAAAGGCTCCTAATTTTGTTTTGGAGGTCTCCTACAACAGGTTTACATGCATCTGATCAAAGGGTTTCTTTTTTTCTTAATATACATTGGACATCACCACATTTCTCAATGATCTGTTGTGATTGGTCTACCACGTACTGCCTGGTTCGGTACGTCGATTTTTACCGTGTCAATCCAAGCGCGAGTCCGATGATGAAACATTGGAGAAACTAGTTATTTAACCCGAACCTCCATCTCAAGGAGGACTTCAGCAGGACGTTTTTCAGTGATACGCTACTCATTTTGAGGTACATTATGAGATGTTACAACTTACAACTGTAATTCCTCACTATCAGCATTAACAAGAGTATGTCCATCAACAAACCGATGTGTATATTTCTAATTTATTGCGGTGCACATGCGGGAACTGTATCAATAACAGTGCAAAAATTAGCTGAGCTCTAGCGTGAATGACTGATGTAACATTAAAGTTTGCAAAACAAATCTTGCTCCATTCTTTATCTTTACTCAAAGTAGTAAGAACAACAGACAATATGCATTTATAGACATAGCTTTAGGTAATAGTGGCCCACAGCTGCTTAGCAGAACTTCATTAAGACAGTAATAACGTGGTTTAGCCGGAAACTTACGCAATATAAAACACAAAACTTTGTATTTTGAACACCCGGTAAAAAAAATATATTTATATATAACATACTAACATTGAAATCAGGTGTGTTTCATGATAATTTTGTAGAAACTGTGATGCATTTTTTCAGGATTATTTGATGAATAGAAAGAACAGCTTTTATTTAATTCATTTAATTCATCCTAACTCAATAAAAGTATTATTTTTCTTTAAAAGAAATAATTCTTCCTGACACCAAACTTTTAAACAGATGATTTCCAAGTATTACCCATAACCTGCAGTTTCCTTATGATGTCAGTACAAGAAAAAGCTTCCCCAAATGTCAGAACTGCTGGTGTTGATGATGCTTTTCCAGTTTTTTGTTGCACCAGAGACTGCCCAGGCAAGAAGCAGGTACTCGCAGGCTGAATTTAGTGGATTCGTTTTCATCCTGACACACTTTACCAGACTTTACCAGTACAGTAAAGTGAGGTGCTCATGACAAATCTGCTTTTAGGTGACTCAAAGTGGCCTAAACCCTGCTGGCTCATCAGTCTGCAGTGCACTGTGTATCTTTAATAGCACTGTGCTGTTTTCGGATGGAAGAGGATGTTGAACGGCGCAAGGTGAACAGAGACAGCAGCTCCTCTGTCAAACGTCATTGTCCTGATGAATTTGCCGTTTCTAAAAGGAGCGGAACATGAATTATGCAGCACAACCTTCATGCGCTTTTGCTTTTATGTTGCTTTTTTACTTGCCAGCGTTCTGATAGCGTTCCCCTCTGACATCGCCGCTTGCTTGAATAAGTGGACCTACTGGAGAAAGTAATGCCGTCCCAAAGCCAGTTGTTTCTAAATGCATTTTAATAGATGTTTACTGTGTAAATAAATTATAATATGATAAATAATTACAGTTGTTGTAACTGGCAGCCTAGATTGGGTGTGCAAACTATATGCAAGCAAAGGGATACCCGGGCGTGGTGATAAACATATTATTTGATAAAAAGAAAATGAATAGAGGCTCTAAGAACCTTCAAAATAATCAAATCAACAAACAAGATGCTCTATTGATCTATTTATTCAATCAGTCTGTTATAATCATTCATATACTGCAAGTAAGGAACCAGCAGGAGTTGCCATAAAATTATTAGTTTTAAAATCACTGCAATGAAACTTTTGGATAATTGAGGCCCAGAGGATAGTCTGAATGATAACTGGTCCCATCCTGTGCATTCATCGTGATATTAATCCTGTAAACAGAATTACACAGCATTTACTCATATAATCTGGCTCAAAGGGAGAGTGTCTGCGCTTGAACACTTCCCCAACAGCTAAGCAGACAAGCAGTTACAAAGTGGGATTTGATAAATATGTTGTAGTGCTTTTTGTTTTTATCTGTTGATTTTGTGAACTGTGTACAGGATTTGTACCAATTTGAGCTAATTATAAACTGATAAAGAGGCTCAGTTGTGTCTGTATGAATCAGATAATGAAATGTCTAATGTCATAATCAGTGCTTGACATTAACACAGTCACTCCTACTAGCCACTTTGGCGGGTTGAATTTTATATGTAATTTTCTTTTTGTATTCTTTAAAAAAGGCATCTGAAATAATAAACAAAAATATCTATATATTTTTTTATTGATATCGAAACACTTCCAATACAAATTTTCCCCAGAATGGATGCATGATACCAGCTGTGCTTTCTCGCTCTCTCATCTCTCAGACACACATTGCGCGTAATTTTACTCATTCCCACAGATTTTGTGCTCATACCCAAAAGTGTGAGCACATAAAGCCGCCTCACAGTACCAAATTTAGTTCTTTTTCGCTGCTTATTGCACTTAAAGCAACACTATGGAACTTTTCAACCTTCATAATATATTTCCAAGACTCTTGTGATGGTACATCGACTTACAATAGGTTAAATGACACGTCTGCCATAGCCTGACGTGGTCTGTATCGCTTTAACTCGCACTATGTAACTTCGGGTTTCGGGTAGTAACCCGAGCACAAAAAGAACTGCAAAACTCGACTGCTTTACGGCATACGTCACTTCCCCCACCACTTCCTCAAATTGTCTATGGCCATTGCAGACATCCCAAGTCTATAGCGTCTCCCTGATGCCCGCAAATTAGTTCAAATCTGCCGGAATCTAGAGCGCGCATGCGAGACAGAACATACTGCGCGCATAACATACTTATGGTGCGTTCAAGTCATCTCGTATAGATCGTATTTACGAGTTGAACGCACTTGAACGCCACCACAATGTCGTAAATACCAGTGGGGAGTTCGGGATTTTCTCTAAGCCCCGATCTTTCCGAGTTGTGGGCGTGTCACTGAGAAACATGGCGGAATACCACAATACTTAAATATTATGCAGTGATATTTTCAAG